GGGTTTGCTCCGCCGACGCGGCCCCCATCCAGCTCTTGTGGCCAAAAAAGTTGCGTAGCAGTGGCTGTGCTGTATCTTTTTGTCGCGTGTTTCGTTACTAGAGCAACTTCCTTATCCTACAGGTGAAGTTACGCAGTGCATTCGGAATGCTGGCACTTCTGTTACGTGCCGTTGGTGTAGCTTCGCTGGCGCTGTGGCTGCCGGTTTCCAGAATTTCACAGGTGGCGGATTTCTCGTTTCTTTAGTGGTTTTTAAGCTGGAAATAAAGCTGTGATTTCTGCTCAAACTGTGTTGCAAACACAGGGTTTCTTGAAACTGAATCTTTGGGGTTTTAAACTGATGGAGCAAGCAACTGCAGATAGTAGTAGTCTGGGTGAGTTATTTCAATGAGCAGGCATGTAGAAGATCTGAGATACTGAAATATTGACACTCATTTATTCAGGCAAGCAACCCTGTTTAACAAGAGGGCCTCCGTCACATGACTTGTAACAAGTGCTACTGGCAGTACCTACGGTGACGCTTTAACCAGAGAGCTCCATTTGTAGCTGCTTTGCCTTTTTTTTTTTTTTTGAAATACAGTGTGAAACTGTAAATACTTCTTGCAGTACTGCCTTTTTAACTCTTAATTACTTCTGGCACAGCGTTAAATAGTGTTGGATTTACCCAATTGCTATGGCATATATTTTTATACATAGGTGTACTCTTTTTTCGAGAATAATACAGCCATTTTGTCATTAATGCCTTATCAGTGTCATACTGCTGTTGCTCTTGGTTTGCAAGGTATCGAGTGGACTAATTTCTAGCTCAGATATTTTCACTTTTCCTGGCAGCGCTCAAGTTTGGCTTCAGGTGATTTTTGCCAGAGTCCCATTTTTCACAGTTGTTAGCTGTGAGAAGAGGAGAATGCGGGCTTGGTTTTGTTTCTGTTAATGGAGCAAAGTAAAGGTGGGGGCATCTAATTGTCTTTAAAGGGTCAGTCTTTTCCTACTCTAAAGCAGAGTGCATTTTGTGGAACTGATGACTTTGGGCACTGATTACTTTATGTAGATTAATGGTCTTTTAAAAAAAAAAACAAACTGAGAAAAGAAAAAGAAAACAACTCCAAAAATGGGCTTCTGTCATTGTGAGGCGCTTGGTTACTTATCTGTTTAAACTCTTCATATTGATGTGAAATTGTGCTGTGGATAAAGTGTATTTTGTACTTCTGAATGTTCTATATTTATGACTAACAAGTACAGAATCAGTTGTGTGTATGTATAACTAATAACTGCCTTTTTAAATTTCATTAAAATAAAAATGTCATGAGCTGTTGTTAATTCCTGTCTGTCTGTAAATAAATAAGATATGCTGTTGGGAATCATCAGGTAGGAAATAACCCTGAATTACAAGATTCCTGCCAAAGGCATTGATCTTTGTCTTTGAAATCTCCTCCTCCGCTGTGTGGTCATGGACGGGAAGTTCCCCTTTTATCTGTCTTCTACAAAGGCTGTCGAGGGAGCGGGAGAGGAATGGGAGTTTGAGAGCTCGGCTTTTAAAAGAAGTTCCAGGACAACGTTCATTAACAGCCCCGCTCTGCTGCCGGCGCTGAGGTGTGCGGGTCGGTGTCCGTATTGCGGAGGGCTTCAGTACAGCACAGTTGGTTTAGAATTAATTCATAGTCTTGGGGGAATTTTTATTCCCTGCCTGGGGTGGTAACACAGTGGTTCCTTTATTCACCTTTTGGTCCCTTTGTTCAGAGTTAAAAAATACTTGTATCCTTCCCACAAACATCCTGGTGACCTTTTCAGACTTTCTTATGTCAAGTGCATTTGCCTTTCACAGTGGTTCTTCGTTGTTTTTATACTGTATTTCTTTCTTGACTTGATGGTTTGTGAGCAGGATTCTCCTTGCTTATAACCCCAGAAAGCCGCTGACTGGGCCCCGGCAGGAGCTGCAGACGCTGTGCTCTCGGCGTGGGGTGGGTGGTGGCTCCCCAGCCCGTGCCCCCTGCTCAGGGCAGACGTGGGCTC